TATGCATGCGTATACAAACTGTAAAATGTTAAAGTGCATATTTCACTATTTTTTTCCTAATCAAGCATTCGCTATCTACATTGTTTACTATTATCAACATACAACAGTGTTTACTTCTATTAACATACAACATTGTTTATTATTATTTACATACAACATTGTTTACTATTATTAACGTACAACATTGCTCACTATTATCAACATACAACATTGTTTACTATTATTAACATACAATATTGTTTACTATTATCATTATACAACATTGTTTACTATTATCAACATATAACATTGTTTACTATTATCAACATACAACATGTTTACTACAATTAACATGCAACATTGTTTACTATTATCAACATACATCATTGTTTACTATTATTAACATACAACATGGTTTACTATTATCAACATATAACATTGTTTACTATTATTAACATACAATATTGTTTACTATTATCATTATACAACATTGTTTACTATTACCAACATATAACATTGTTTACTATTATTAGCATACAACATTGTACAATCATTGTTTACTATTATCAACATGCAACATTGTTTACTATTATCAACATATAACATTGTTTACTATTATTAGCATACAACATTGTTTACTATTATCAACATATAACATTGTTTACTATTATTAGCATACAACATTGTTTACTATCATCAACATACAACATTGTTTACTATTATTAGCATACAACATTGTTTACTATTATTAACATACAGCATTGTTTACTATTATCAACATATAACATTGTTTACTATTATTAGCATACAACATTGTTTACTATCATCAACATATAACATTGTTTACTATTATTAGCATACAACATTGTTTACTTTTATTAACATACAATATTGTTCTCATATCATGGCAATGATTCTTTCTACAATTGTATTAATTTCATTTGTTTGATATCGCTTGCTGACGTTATAGTTTCTGTTTATTACACACTTTTATCTGGTTTATCTAAAATTGTGATCCAATATTCATTTTGGCCTCGGAGACATATATAGTTTCTATGTAACTGACAGTAATACAAATGTGACAGTCACAGTCCAGGGCATTTAATTATTATTAGTGTTATGTTATGTGGAACTCTCAAAAAAGAAGATTTAAAAAGTTGATAATAAAATGTCAGTGAAAAGATATGAAGAAACGTGTTATCTCCTATCATTGCAAAGTCCCCAAACAGCACAACAGGGTACATGCCTTGCAATAATTAATCAAAGTCAATGAGTTTGTGTGTACACCATCAGTTATCTAGTTATGTGATGGAGCGACTTTCATCCTCTACCATAGGTATTCTTCTCTGCAGAGATTGAGCACTTCAGTTCCCAGTATATAAATATACCTAATATTGTTTTCGTTTAGGAATTGTTTATTTCCCAAGGCAAGAGTAAGCGACTTCCGGTACAGAGCATTTCCACGAATTAAAGTTCAAGTCCCACTCTAAAGACAATTAACTTAAGCGTTTTAGTGCTTTTCAACTTAAAGCTATTAAGGAAGTGTCGTCAGCGGAACAGAGATTGTAGAATTTGATCGTAAAGATGAAAATTCTAAATCGATGGGAAAGTCTATAATAAGGATTAGAGTAAGGGAACACAGCACTACCCTACTGAGTAGGTATTGTTAAAGGACAGGACCATGATCTAACATTACCTGTAAGCACTGCGCTGCTATTTTTGTAGTTTCAGAATGAGCCTTTGGTACTGTATTACACTTGATTAAATGTTCACAATTTAACATTACCGTTCTATTGTTATGTTTCATGAATACAGTGATACAACTTCAATATTAAAATTGACGAGTCCTAGAAGGAAGAAACAGCTGTATGATGTAACATCACTGACGAGTCATAGAGGGACGAAACAACTGTATGATGTAGCATCACTGACGAGTCCTAGAGGGACGAAACAGCTATATGATGTAACATCACTGACGAGTCCTAGAGGGACGAAACAGCATATGATATAACATCACTGACGAGTCCTAAAGGGACGAAACAGCTATATGATGTAACATCACTGACGAGTCCTAGAGGGACGAAACAGTTATATGATGTAACATCACTGACGAGTCCTAGAGGGACGAAACAGCTATATGATGTAACATCACTGACGAGTCCTAGAGGGACGAAACAGCTATATGATGTAACATCACTGACGAGTCATAGAGGGACGAAACAACTGTATGATGTAACATCACTGACGAGTCCTAGAGGGACGAAACAGCATATGATATAACATCACTGACGAGTCCTAGAGGGACGAAACAGCTATATGATGTAACATCACTGACAAGTCATAGAGGGACGAAACAGTTATATGATGTAACATCACTGACGAGTCCTAGAGGGACGAAACGGTTATATGATGTAACATCACTGACGAGTCATAAAGGGACGAAACAGTTATATGATATAACATCACTGACGAGTCCTAGAGGGACGAAACAGTTATATGATATAACATCACTGACGAGTCCTAGAGGGACGAAACAGCATATGATATAACATCACTGACGAGTCCTAGAGGGACGAAACAGCATATGATGTAACATCACTGACGAGTCCTAGAGGGACGAAACAGCATATGATGTAACATCACTGACGAGTCCTAGAGGGACGAAACAGCATATGATATAACATCACTGACGAGTCCTAGAGGGACGAAACAGCATATGATATAACATCACTGACGAGTCATAGAGGGACGAAACAGCATATGATGTAACATCACTGACGAGTCCTAGAGGGACGAAACGGTTATATGATGTAACATCACTGACGAGTCCTAGAGAGACGAAACAGCTATATGATGTAACATTACTGACGAGTCATAAAGGGACGAAACAGTTATATGATATAACATCACTGACGAGTCCTAGAGGGACGAAACAGTTATATGATATAACATCACTGACGAGTCCTAGATGTAACATCACTGGACCTAGAAACAGCATATGATGTAACATCACTGACGAGTCCTAGAGGGACGAAACAGCATATGATGTAACATCACTGACGAGTCCTAGAGGGACGAAACAGCTATATGATGTAACATCACTGACGAGTCATAGAGGGACGAAACAGCATATGATATAACATCACTGACGAGTCCTAGAGGGACGAAACAGCATATGATATAACATCACTGTCGAGTCCTAGAGGGACTGGTGTACATCAGAGTGGTGAGATAATGATATATTTTCGGAGTTTTGCCGTAAGATTCGGTCGCATTGACGTATGTCGCTTTACCACTCCCATATATATCAAATAATGTTACCCTGATTCTTTATCTATTGTGAATGTTAGCGAGTACTACAGCTGTAAGACCCCCCGTTAACAACACGTTTCACTGAGACATGGTCCTATCCCAGCACTGAAAACAATCACCTGGTATCGAACTTTCACAAAAACACACCAATTCTGCTTTGATATAGTTTCTCTTAACCTTCAATAATCAATATATATATATGTTAAGCACTTGTGAGGGATAAATTCGATAGACTGGAATGGTGCTTTCTTTACGTTCATCAGCATGTAACATCCAGTGGCTTACCTAAATCTACTACTGAGTGTTATACAAACCGTGTATCTCTTGAATACAAATCCCAACTGCCAAAGTATCTAATCACAAACTACGGAGTGAAATGTTACTGTCATGACCTTGGTATGTTGTGAAATGTTACTGTCATGACCTTGGTATGTAGTGAAATGTTACTGTCATGACCTTGGTATGTTGTGAAATGTTACTGTCATGACCTTGGTATGTAGTGAAATGTTACTGTAATGACCTTGGTATGTTGTGAAATGTTACTGTAATGACCTTGGTATGTTGTGAAATGTTACTGTCATGACCTTGGTATGTAGTAAAATGTTACTGTCATGACCTTGGTATGTAGTGCAATGTTACTGTCACGACCTTGGTATGTAGTGAAATGTTACTGTCATGACCTTGGTATGTAGTGCAATGTTACTGTCCCAATCTTTGTGTGGTGAAAATTTAATTTATCCTACAACATTATTAGAATCGGTGATTTTCATCGATGTAAGAATGTTCTTGACCCAAGATAATCGTGCTTATCTTTAACTCTAGAATATTTGAATACTTATACATAATACTCTATGGACGCACAGGAGCATTAGGGCAGATCTAAATATTTACATAATCAGCCAATGCAGGTCGCCCGTGTCTCCGAATAGCATCGATACCCAAGGGGAACTGGCTAATTCATTTCCTGTGGAGAGTCGGAATTATACCACAATGAGACTTGGACGACCCTAACACGATCCAATTTGATTGGTACTGGGAATCAATGGCAGACAACAGAGTAAACAGGCAGGAAACAGCTGAATACTGACCAACGTAAACGGCTACGTCCGAAATAGGAGCAATCGGCTTGCTCTCTCATGAAAAACAGATGTCTGGTCAGATAAATCAATATTCTACCGTGTTAAAACTACTGAGACATCTGTTTGATATCAACAAATTCCCAGACACTAGAAGTCAATGGAATATAAAAAAACGTATCTTGCTTGTTACTCATCATGCATTGTGATTGCCATTGGTTTGTCCTATTGTGCTTCCAAATATCCATCAACCAGATTTTGCTCCCTAACATCCTCCGATCAAATCCCACACACAAACATCATCCATCGACTACATCCTTCTCGCATACGCCCATCAACCGCATCCTACTCGCATACATACAACGGCCCCATCCTGGTCATATACATCCACCGGCCGCATCCAACTCCTAAGTATCATCCCACCATATTCAGTCCACAAGCATTTATCGACCAACCAGTCAGCCCCAAATATCACTGAGCAGCTACTGCCCCAAACACCGCAAACAGATGCTGCCTTGAACACGTCAAATAGATGCTGTCCAAAACACCTCCAACAAATGCTGTCCCAAACACCCTCCAACAGATGCTGTCCCAAACACCTCCAACAAATGCTGTCCCAAATACCTCCAACAGATGTTGTCCCAAACATCTCCAACAGATGCTGTCCCAAACAACCTCCAACAGATGCTGTCCCAAACACCTCCAACAGATGCTGTCCCAATGGTGTCCAAAACACCTCCAACAAATGCTGTCCCAAACACCTCCAACAAATGCTGTCCCAAACACCCTCCAACAGATGCTGCCCCAAACAACCTCCAACAGATGGTGTCCCAAACACCTCCCAACAGATGCTGTCCCAAACACCTCCAACAAATGCTGTCCCAAACACCTCCAACAGATGCTGTCCCAAACACCTCCAACAGATGTTGCCCCAAACACCCTCAAACAAATGCTGTCCCAAACACCCTCCGACAGATGCTGTCCCAAACACCTCCTAACAGATGCTGTCCAAAACACCTCCAACAAATGCTGTCCCAAACACCTTCCAACAGATGCTGTCCCAAACACCCTCCAACAGATGCTGTCCCAAACACCTCCCAACAGATGCTGTCCAAAACACCTCCAACAAATGCTGTCCCAAACACCCTCCAACAGATGCTGTCCCAAACACCTCCCAACAGATGCTGTCCCAAACACCTCCAACAAATGCTGTCCCAAACACCTCCAACAAATGCTGTCCCAAACACCCTCCAACAGATGCTGCCCCAAATAAGCTCCAACAGATGGTGTCCCAAACACCTCCCAACAGATGCTGTCCCAAACACCTCCAACAAATGCTGTCCCAAACACCCTCCAACAGATGCTGTCCCAAACAACCTCCAACAGATGCTGTCCTAAACAGCCTCCAACAGATGCTGTCCAACAAATGCTGTCCTAAACAACCCAACAGATGCTGTCACCTCCAACAAATGCTGTCCAAAACAACCTCCAACAGATGCTGTCCCAAACACCTCCAACCTGTCCAAAACACCTCCAACATGCTGTCCCAAACACCTCCAACAGATGTTGTCCCAAACACCTCCAGCAGATGCTGTCCTAAACAACCTCCAACAGATGCTGCCAACAGAATGCTGTCCCAAATACCTCCAACAGATGTTGTCCCAAACATCTCCAACAGATGCTGTCCCAAACAACCTCCAACAGATGCTGTCCCAAACACCTCCAACAAATGCTGTCCTAAACAGCCTCCAACAGATGCTGCCCTACACACCTCCAACTGATGCTGTCCAAAACACCTCCAACAGATGCTGCCCTAGACACCGCCAATAGATGCTGTCCAAAACACCTCCAACAAATGCTGTCCCAAACACCCTCCAACAGATGCTGTCCCAAACACCTCCCAACAGATGCTGTCCAAAACACCTGCAACAAATACTGTCCAAAACACCTCCAACAAATGCTGTCCTAAACACCCTCCAACAGATGCTGTCCCAAACACCTCCCAACAGATGCTGTCCAAAACACCTTCCAACAAATGCTGTCCCAAACACCTCCAACAGATGCTGTCCCAAACACCTCCCAACAGATGCTGTCCAAAACACCTTCCAACAAATGCTGTCCCAAACACCTCCAACAGATGTTGCCCCAAACACCCTCAAACAGATGCTGCCCCAAACACATCCAAACGATGTTGCCCCAAACAACCTCCAACAGATGTTGCCACAAACAACCTCCAACAGATGCTGCCCCAAACAACCTCCAACAGATGCTGTCCCAAACATCTCTAACAGATGCTGTCCCAAACGACCTCCAACAGATGCTGTCCCAAACATCTCCAACAGATGCTGTCCCAAACACCCTCCAACAAATGCTGTCCTAAACAACCTCCAACAGATGCTTCCCTAGACACCTCCAAATGATGCTGTCCAAAACACCTCCAACAGATGCTGCCCCAAACATCTCCAACAGATGTTGCCCCAAACACCTCCAGCAGATGCTGTCCTAAACAACCTCCAACAGATGCTGCCCTAGACACCGCCAATAGATGCTGTCCAAAACACCTCCAACAATTGCTGTCCCAAACACCTCCCAACAGATGCTGTCCCAAACACCTCCAACAAATGCTGTCCCAAATACCTCCAACTGATGCTGTCCAAAACACCTCCAACAGATGCTGCCCCAAACAACCTCCAACAGATGCTGCCCCAAACAACCTCCAACAGATGCTGTCCCAAACACCTCCAACAGATGCTGCCCCAAACAACCTCCAACAGATGCTGCCCCAAACAACCTCCAACAGATGCTGTCCCAAACACCTCCAATAGATACTGCCCCAAACATCTCCAACAGATGCTGCCCCAAACAACCTCCAACAGATGCTGCCCCAAACAACCTCCAACAGATGCTGCCCCAAACACCTCCCAACAGATGCTGTCCAAAACACCTCCAACAGATGCTGCCCCAAACAACCTCCAACAGATGCTGCCCCAAACAACCTCCAACAGATGCTGTCCCAAATACCTTCAGTTGGTAACAGGTGTGTAAGTACCATGTATCAAGGCAACATGTACCTAGGTAAGGTATGTATAGGTAGCGTGTATCTAGGTGACGTGTATTTAGATAACATTTATCTAGGCATCTGGTATCTAAGTAACATACGTCCAGTTAAAGCGTATCTATGTAACGTGTTTCTAGTTAACTCGTATCTGGGTAACGTGTTTCCATGTATGATGTATCTAGGTGGCGTGTATCTAGGTAACGTGTATCTAGGTAATGTCTGTCTACAGCAGGTTAGGCTATAGATATGATAAAATACAGAAAATACAAAAACTACAATACGTGTATAGACAACGTCAACATATAAGGTATCTAGACAATACGAAATCGCGCGTCTAGACAATTAGATACCACGTGTCTAGACAATAATGTAACTCGTGTCTAAGCGTATAAGACTCTTTTAATGTGTTGGGATGTAGGTTAGGGATATTCCATCCGAGGGGTCACAAAATGTTGTAAACCAGAGTTTGTGACCTCGAGGATGAAATATCTCATCCCTCAACGCGACATATGAAATATAAATGTATTGGTTTTTTTTTCATTTCTCATTCACTCTAAATCAGCTTCAGACATCGACAATATACTACAGAGAACGCCATATAACACGCAAATACTATTCGACAAATTGATATTGAAAATGTATTCTCCGTACCCAGAAAATTAAAACAAAATATAAACAATCACTGCAAACAAGAAACTAATAGTACACAAATGTGTAAACATTATACCGCGCGATAACGTCAGTTAAAAAGGGGCATGTCGCATTTCACATCCAGACCAGTATTACACAGTAACAAAATTAGAGATGTAAGATATCACGTGTCTAGATAATAATGTAGCACGTGTCTAGACAATAAGATATCACCTGTCTAGACAACGAAGTAGCACGTGCATAGACGAAAAGATATCACGTGTCTAGAAAACGATGTAGCACGTGCATAGACGAAAAGATATCACGTGTCTAGACAATGATGTAGCACGTGTATAGACAATAAAATATCACGTGTCTAGATAATAATGTAGCAAGTGCATAGACAATAAGACATTACATGTCTAGACAATTACGTAGCTCGGGCATAGACAATTAGATATTACATGTCTAAACAATGATGAATCACGTGGACAGACAAAAAGATATCACGTGTCTAGACAATGATGTAGCACGTGTAAAGACAATAATATATCATGTGTCTAGACAATGATGTAGCACGTGTATAGACAATAAGATATCACGTGTCTAGACAATGATGTAGCACGTGTATAGACAATAAGATATCACGTGTCTAGACAATGATGTAGCACGTGTATAGACAATAAGATATCACGTGTCTAGACAATGATGTAGCACGTGTATAGACAATAAGATATCACGTGTCTAGACAATGATGTAGCACGTGTATAGACAATGATGTAGCACGTGTATAGACAATAAGATATCACGTGTCTAGACAATGATGTAGCACGTGTATAGACAATAAGATATCATATATCTATACAATGAGATCTTACATGCCTTGACATTCATCTAGCACGTGTCTTAGCAATAAGGTAACACGTGAGTAACATGGGTAGTACTTTATCATGTTATGGTAATATGATATACAATTTTAAGAGAAGACGCTGGAATCAAAACACTAAAATGATGATGTCGGCTAATAAAATGTGTTTTAATTGATTTTGCTCACATGGTAAATGTCTTTGATTGTCATTAACAGTGTAGACACGAAATGATAACACATAATCATGATGAAGAAGGTGTGGAAAACTTCCGTGGCTGGTGAACTGGTGATGTGATGATGATCCATACTTCGCCTGGAGTCACAGTCGTCATGGATACCGATATATGAGCAGTATATGGGTTTGATGATACAATTCATGTTTAGATAAAAATGCAAACAATATATGTTTCAACAGGATGAATACATCACCTGTTTACTGTGATAAGTCTCCCGCTTTATCACCTGATGATCATGTTCTTTAATGCTGTCGCATACATATTAATATACACGTAGTTTTATTTCTTCTAAAAGGCCAGAGACTCGCACAAATGCTTTTAAAGGTTATTCTTGTGTCATATGCCAATGAAAAATAAATTAATATTGAAGATCTTATGTATTTAAATAAATATTAAAAATTATTTATTTTACAACAATTGCGAAACAAGCTATTGGCTTATACCGATCATTCTTGTTGGCTCGCCGTTGGAAGAGCGCGAGGGTCTTATTGTGGAAGGAACCTGGGGTACCCTCGTGGTCCGGCAGGTGACCCTTTACCTTTTGACATTCGCTCACAGAATGGAACTCCATGGAAAGGGGTGTGTTATCATTGCGTTACCCGACATTCTATATACTTTTTGTGTTACCCGTCACGAGTGATGCTAAATACGTGCATTCCTGTTGGTCAGACATCAGACTTGTATTGTGTATGACGGTTTATGATCACGCTACTTCTCTGGGTCAGCAGTCCTCTGAGGTCACAGAGGATAATCTTTGAATATTTTCTCTTATAAATATATGTTTGATTTATAACAACGTCTCATGAACAGCACTCCTTTGTGACGGAAAAAAAATATCCGCGGATGTGCGGACACCTGTGTATTCCCCAATATCAGTTAGTGCAGATAGTATCATGTAATATGATGTTACCTTTGGGCAATATCTCCAGTCTCACATATGTCTATAGAGATCTCTGATCTCAGCCATCTTTCCCGATAAATCATCGCGATTTATTCACATTATATATCACAGTTTTGTCCTAATCTTCGTTCTCGTTTATACCTAGAAAACAGCCGCCATGTAGAATATTTTTTTAACTTCATTTTTATGCCATCATAGAAAACAACGACAAAAGAATTGATGACTAATTTTATTACGTTCAGTTGACGCACGCGAGCTGTTATGACCGTTGAATATACATTATTTCTGGAGACGTAAAATTGTGATCTGTTTGGTTTATATTACTAATCAGTGGACAATACAGCTCAGCAGTGTAGTCATGGTAATAAAACAGACTGAAAAAACACCCCTTATCATACCGCCGACCAGTGTCGTATTAACGTCGATAATATATAGGGATATATCATCTTAATCATTCAGACATTCTATATAGTGAAAATAGATAAGATAATATGGTGGATGTACATATGAATGACTTAAAAAGAGAATATTAGTATCTCCGAAACAAGAATTTTTCTTCAGGATTGCATAATTTTCAGTACGAATTTATAAGCAAAACAGTATATATATGAGCCAAAAAATGAAGTGAATTAAATGATAGGGATGGTTGTGATTTTTTTATATTCATCATTGACGCCAGGATCAAAAGTCCTAAAGGGGAATGCAGTCAAGTGTGCCTTCTTTGTGACATAGAGGGAAGTGTACATATCTTTTGATACCTAACTGCCAAAGTTTGTTGGTTAGGAAGCAGGTCAACCATTGATCTCAGCACTAACTGAATGTAGCAGATGACATGATCAAAATGTGCCGAATCTAAACCAATTTTGCTTTCTCGATCTCTTCCTCCGTTGCTTGATATCATCTTGAATCATCTTCCGAATTCTTATCGTCATACACATGATTTACCCACAATGCCTCTGTAGTTCGGTTCAGCATTCTTGATCTTCGTATCCTTGAGGTCGCTCACAGTCATAACCATTCTTACTTTTGCAGCCTCGAACTCGTCTACTAATCATATGATGGGAAGCCAAAATACATCGCATAACTCCATGAAAAGTCTGATGTACTATTTATGATTTACAGAATGACTTCCTTCTTCTATCGTGGTTATTTCTCTTTTACAATGTCTGTTATGTGTTGTTATGTTTCTCACAATGAGTCTATGATTTGACAGACTGGTGACTGACATACATCCAGTGACAATTCTATTTTACAATGTCTGTTATGTTTCTCACGATGAGCTTGAGATTTGACAGACTGGTGACTGACATACATCCAGTGACAATTCTCTTTTACAATGTCTGTTATGTTTCTCACAATTCTCTTTTAGCTTTATGTTTATAACAATGATTTTTGACAGACTGGTGACTGACATACATCCAGTGACAATTCTCTTTTACAATGTCTGTTATGTTTCTCACAATGAGTCTGAGATTTGACAGACTGGTGACTGACATACATCCAGTGACAATTCTCTTTTACAATGTCTGTTATGTTTCTCACAATGAGTCTGAGATTTGACAGACTGGTGACTGACATACATCCAGTGACAATTCTCTTTTACAATGTCTGTTGTGTTATGTTTCTCACGATGAGTCTGAGATTTGACAGACTGGTGGCTGCGGTGTATGCATTCTCTTGCCGAATGACTGCGAGGAGGCCATGTTTGATGTTGACTTCCGTTATGAGTAATATGCCCAATGCAAACTGAGGATCCTGTTTTCCCGTTTTTCTGTGCTTTTGAATCTATACAACTAATTACAATAAGTTGAAGTACTAAATAGTGTTTAAAAGAACAACAAGGTTGTTTTGTCGTTGTTAACGACTACAATAACGAACAACATTCGCTAAAAGGAATCACACATATCGTATGCATTGATTGTTGATTTGATCTGATCTGATGCTCTTTGTTGAATTTTGAATCTGATTCAGGTTTTAAATGAAGACAGAATATAACATTGACTGTACTTCCATTTTTAGCTATGTATCTGAAAGGATCGTAGTGACATATGCACCAATCATTACTTGTTTCACCTCAGCAACCGTTTACGGCCTTGACATTAACCTACAGAACAGTAAACTTACATTTCAAA